CTTTGCTTTGTATTACTGAAATTTGGACATAATTGCGTTTGATGTAGAAGAATTGTAGAAGATTTAGCCGTTTTTGATTTGTGAAATCAGAAAAAAGGTTTGAAACACAGTGTATCGAAAAAGCAGAGACGCTAAATTTGAAACGAAACTGACGAAGAAGATTAATATGCGTGATTTGCGTTGTGGAAGATCTGGAAGAATATTTAATTCCCCTTTTTTACCGCGCCTAAATAAGGAATCATAAAGCTATATTGATTCCTTATTTAATGCATTGTATATATTATGTAGAAATACTATTAGCATGAATGGTAATATGTAAACTATGAACATATTTGATAATATGGTTTCATATATGGTATATATACGAAAATTTTCCTTTTTATAATCATGTTGAAATTCAAGTTTGGGTGCGTTATTAGGCCTTTGTGCTCATAGGCCTTTGGGCCAATTAATTGGCCCGGACAAGATTACGTACCCTAGTGTGGGTCTAATTGATTCCATACTCCATTAGCTTACCTTGTAGGAGCACAAACATTTTAGAAGGGTCTAAGCGCCCTGAGGCCTCACGTTAGGCCCATAAGTGACTCCATTTGAAGCATTAATCACTTCCTATGATCGACAGATTCACACCCACCAATTCTTGACCATTTAACCTTTCCATTAATTTATGGGCTATTAATCTATGTTGTAAAATAATTGGTCAAGCCACAGAATAGCTTCGTAGTCCAAAACAGCCATTGAATTTATCCTTCCTCAAATATCCCAACTCTATAAGCTCTCGATCATCACAGTTGGTCTTAAATATACGAATTAATAAACTCATAAACATTCTTTAGGCACGCACTTAATTTATTATCATGATTATTTACACGTTCGCGTGATATTATTACGATTTCTAAAATGAATATTCGTAGCAATGCTTTAGGCGCTTTTAATTTACTATCGTGATTGTGTACACGTTTGCGTGACATGGTTACGGTTCCCAAAAATAAATCAAAGTATGCGTTCACGCAACTTTGGCCAAACAATCTCAAATTAATTAAGCGTGATAAATTGTGTACACGTATGCGTGACATGGTTTTAGCGCCCCGAATAAAGCGGATTTACACCCATGTAATCTGTTCAAAGATTAAATCCATAAACGCCATAATTTAAAAGCGGTAAAAGGTAAAATATACATAGGTTCTAAACTAATTAAACAATTTAAATAAGCCAGGTATGATTAAAACGACCGTGCGAAAATCACGGAATCCGGGAATGCCTAACACCTTCTCCCCGGTTAACATAATTCCTTACCCGGTCTTCTGTGTTCGCAGACCGTAAAAATAGAGTCAAATTCCCTTAATTTGGGATTTAAAATAAACCGGTGACTTGGGACACCACAAATTATTCCAAGTGACGACTCTAAAATTAAATAAACAACCCCATTTCGATTAAAGTCACTTTAATTGGAAAAACTCCCTATCCCTTCAGAAAAACGAAGGTGTGACAGACAGTATACTCTAATGCAAGTATTAATGACTACTTCTATGACTTGAACGCGTAACCTATGGAATAATCGTGTACACAACGCTGCGCAGTAGCGAAGCCAAGAATTTACCCAAGGGTGTTCGAATTTGAAATAAGTGAAAAGTCCGCCCCCGGTTAGCTCTGTAAATGTGTAGAGCCAAGTGTAGTGTGGTGTAGTAGTAGGCACTTCTAGGCCCCTTCCCGGCTACTGGATCTTCTACTATTCTATGTTCTTCCCGAAAGTGTGCTAATCCCTCCCCCCGACAAATGATATTTAATATATGTTATAAACTTCTAAAACCTAATATTTTACCTATATCCAATGCAATTTTCCGACGACCACCTTTATGACAATGTGGCTTTGCCCTGACGCTGCGGCCCTTCTCTCGACATAGAAATGTATTTATCGATGACGCCAACACTATCGTCATTTGTAAAATGCTTAGCTGTGAATACACGCGTTGTGGATGTGATGTACATAGTTGAGTGTGCTTGTCTGACTGGCCAATTTGAGTTCCTTTTCTTTGACCGTCCAGGATATTACCGTGTGACAGTGGTCCATTTATTACGTGTGCGATAAGAATTGTGAAATTTTGGAAACAAGTAAAAGAATTTTTAAGCGAAAATGGTATTTAAAAATTATAGTTATGTTTGGACATGAATATAATTTGAAGTTGTTTTTGAATTTTTGTGAGTGATTTGAAGTGAAAATTTTAAAAAATAACTTTTTGCAGTTTTTAAATTTTTGAAAAATTTCGAAATTCATCTTCAAATAAAATTTGACTTTTTCACAACCAAAACACTGATTCCGAAAAAGTAAAAAAATTTCGAAAAAAGTAAATTTCTTTTTATGGCCAAATGGGCCGTAGTATCCGTTTCATATTGTTTGAGATACTTTGACTCGGCACGGAGTTTAAGAAAAAAAGAAGAAGACTTTTGAAAGTTGTGGTCTTAAAAGCTTAAGGGGTAAAAAGTTTGTGGGGCCATGCCATTTTTGGCTACAAAAGCTTGTCATTAAAGGCAAAAAGGGTAAAATGAAGAGTTTAAAGTTGAATTATTTCCAAATTTAGAAATGTGTCATTTATTTTGGAACATATTAAAAAGTAAAAAACCTCATTTAATATGAAACGGTAGGTTACCTCTTCAATTAGTTAAGAAGCAGACTAGAAATTTGACAATTCTGCAAAATGATACAGAAATGGTCTCGTGTGAATCATGTAAAAATGAACAAAACAAATGGTTAAGTAATCCTAGATGGACAGGTTGATCATTAATTCAGATAGAAAAGGGAAAAAAAGGACAAAAGAAAAAAGAAGTTTCCCAAGGTTAAGGTAATAACTTCATTGAAAGTTGACTTAGCCAAACAATAAAAACAAATTAAATATGACTTAGCAATTAATGAGTCGATAAAATCAACATTTTAACGCAATTGAATATGACTTTTAAAACCATAAAGTTAATCCCACAAACATAAAAAGCTAAATGATTTTCTTTTATTTGTCGAAGCCGTTCATCTTAGATTGTTTTTATTATTATCTTTCCGGTCTTTATTGTTAATATTGTTTGTTTTTATTATTTTTTTAATCTTTCTTGAGTCGAGGGTCTATAAAAATAATTTTTTTTACTTTTCCAGAATAGGAATAAAGTTTACGTACACGCTACTCTCCTAAACTCCGCTTGTGAGACTCCACCGAGTTTATTATTGTAGTTTCCTAAGCCGTTCGACAAAGTTACCTAATATGAGTTCTGAACATCTGTTATAAAAATAAAAAGTAGTAACAAAAAAAAAAAAAAACATGGGGAACTTGAGAACTAATGACTAGTTTCCCTTTGTAAAAATAAGAGTCGAACTTGGCTTAAGCCTTAAGCAGTTTTTGGAGATGTTCCCTATGGGCTATAGCTTTAGGTACTAAGATAGCGTTTGACTATAGATCCTAAATTTGTTTTGAAAAATCTGATTTGGGTGAAGTTTGGTTTGAAGATGAAAATGTGTTTGGACATACGTTTTCAAAACATATTTTCCAACTTTATTTTGGAAAAACATGTATATAATTCCCAAGTTTTGGGATTTTGGCCCAAAATCAGCTCAATAGCTGATTTTGGGATTTGAAATCTGGGATTTGGGATTTGGCCAGAATATGGGCAACATTTATAGCCAAACATGAGATTTGAAAATAAATTCCAAATTTATTTTGGCAAAACTCATGGCCAAACGGGGCCTAAAAAGCTTGAACCTTTTTTTAGACGAATGATTCTCAATCAAACATTAATACTTAACGAAAAAACATACGGTCCGTCCGCCCCTCCCACCCCACGTACCTGTCCTAACCCCCCCCCCCTCCAATTTTGTGTGTCTCTCTTCTTTGCTCTACTATACTCGTACGTTTTTTTTTTTTTTTTTTTGTATTCCAAGAAACAGAAAACATTTGCTCATCGCTTCTCCAAAGGATCACTCCCTGCATCCTCTTTTCACAAAAGGTTAGATTCTGCGAACTCTTTCAAGTTTCAAATTTTCACTAAGAATGGCTATTGCTTTTCATATCATTGCATTATAGATGCCTTTTCGTAATGTTTCTTAGATTCGATGTTTAAATCCCATTTTGATACTGTAACTATGGAATTGCTTATGAAAATTTGTCATATTCTTGCATACTAAGCATACCCTTTTCGTATTTTTGCTCAGTTTTGTAGATTCAATGTTCAAAATCCCATCTTGATACTGAAACTCTGAAATTGCTTTTGAAAATTTGTCATATTCTAAGCATACCCCTTTCCTATTTCTGCTTAGTTTCACAGATTCAATTTTCAAAATCCAATCTTGATACTATAACTATGGAATTGCTCATGAAAATATGTCATATTCTTGCATTCTAAACACACCCTTTTCTTACTTTTGTTTAGTTTCATAGATTCAATGTGCGAAATTCCATTTTAATACTGTAACTGTTGAATTGCTAATGAAAATTTGTCATACTCTATGCGTACCCTTTCGTATTTCATATTGGAAAAGTTGTGTTGCTACTTCTTTCTCAGATTCAAATTTTGTTTTTTTTAAAAAAAGTGCGAAATCCCATTTTGATACTGTAACTCTTGAATTCCTAATGAAAATTTGTCATACTCTAAGCATACCCTTTTCTTATTTCTGCTTAGTTTCATAGATTCAATGTTCAAAATCCAACCTTGATACTGTAACTCTGGAATTTCTTATCGAAAATTGACATATTCTTGCATTTTAAGCATACCCTTTCCGTATTTCTGCTGTGTTTCATAGATTCAATGTTCAAAATCCCATTTTGATACTGTAACTATGAAAGTGCTTATCGGTTTGTTATATTATTGGATTCTAAGCACACCCTTTTCATATTTCTGCTTAGTATCATAGATTCAATGTTCAAAATCCCATATTGATAGTACCCATGAAGTTTGTTTGCTTATTTTTTCTTTTTCCTGTTAACTCTGAAATTGGTAGTGGAAAAGTTGCGTTGAAACTTTTTTCTCAGATTAACAGCCTCTTGCAGAAATGTAGGGTAAGGCTGCGTACAATAGACCCATGTGGTCCAGCCCTTCCCCGGACCTCGCGCATAGCGGGAGCTTAGTGCACTGGGCTGCCCTTTTTTCAAATGTTCAAACTCCCTTTTCAATAGCCCCATCAAATTATTTTCTCGTTTAACTTTGTAATTGGTTTTGAAAAATTTGTCATAAGGTTCCAAGCACACCTTTTTCGTATTTCTACTTTGTTCTCAGATGAAATGTTCAAGATCCCATTTCGAGAGTCCCCATCAAATTTGTTTTCTTTTTTTACTCTGGTGATGGTTCAGAAAATTGGTCATAGTCTTGCAGCTTAGGTGTGCTGTTTTGTGTTTCTACTTTGTATCTCAGATTCAATGCTCAAATTTTCTTTGTCTGCTAGCTTTTTGGAATTGGCTTTGAAAACTTGTCTCCTATATTACAATTCTAAGCATGCCACTTTTGTGTTTCTACTTTGTTTCCCAGATTCAACATTCAAAATCGTATTTTGGTAGTCCTATCAATTTTGTTTTCCGTTAACTTAGATACTGGTTTTTTCCGTTTTTGAAACTTTTAACCGTATTATTTTTGTGCAGATTCCAATTGGTTTATAGGTGATTCCAGAGGGAGCGAGAGGAAGGAAAGAAAGGATGGGTTACATAGGGGCACATGGAGTGCAAGCGCTTCATAGGTACAAATACAGTGGGGTAGATCACTCCTATGTTGCTAAGTATGTGTTGCAGCCATTTTGGAGTCGCTGTGTCAATTTCTTCCCCCTTTGGATGCCGTAAGTTTTCTCTCGTTCTCTCTGAATGTTATGATGAATCTTTTTTCCATGACAGTTTTGTGCATATGTGTTTAAATTTCTAGTGTTTGTGTAGTGATGTTTCTTGTATATGGGTTCCATTTATTTGCTTCCTTAGTGAGCCCACTCGGTCTTGCTGTCCATTCATTTGGCAATTTGGAGGACATGAACTTCTTTTATTACCTGTCAAGAAGGAAACAAAGAGACGATAAAGAAGAAAAGTTTCTATTAGGAATTCAGAATAGATGGTGATGTGGAAAGAGGAGATACATAGGAATTTTTGGATGATTTTTGTCTTTGGATGGTCTAAAAGAGTCGTTCATTCAGGAACACCTGACCCCCATCCCCCCCCCCCCCCCCCCCTAAAAAAAAAAAAAAAAACTTTTCTTCCTATTCAGAACCTTGTACTGCTTCTATTCACTCGTAGAATTAACTGTTTGAACACCCTAGAATAGAAGAGCAGATCTCGGAACTGAAATGGAACAGCGGTATTGTTGGTGGAATTCCGAATTAAGGAATATGAATTCAAGGAACTTTCTTTTCTCGTTTCTGATGAATCTACAGAATGCCATCTTCCATAAATGGTGATGGAAATAAAACAACTTTCAGGATCATGGTTATCTAAGTAGAAGAAAAAACTTTCAGGATCTTGTTTCTGAGACAAACTTTTTGCCACTGATAAAGCCTCCTTGATGATGAAGATGATGATGAAAGAAATTAACAATTATTGATAGTGCAGTTTTGGTGGAGTATTAGGAAAGCATAGACCATTTCCCTCTGTAACTATATAATGGACCTGTTGTTGTTGTGTGTATACAATATATGTATATATGAAGTGCATAATCATCAGGTGCCAGAAGAAATAGTCTAACATGAATTTGTCACCCGTTTGTAACAATTACTTGCTAATGGCTTTAGCCAGATGATCATGCCTTATCTTTTTCTCTTTTTCCGGAGTTAACTGACAATTTTTTTGTGTGCATGTTCTTTATACGTTGCCCAGACCGAATATGGTACGTCCCACTGTAGTCTATGGTCTTTGTTGCAAATGTTATTCTTCTCATTAGTATATTCTCTGCGCTTTGAGGTCTGATATATAACTTCCATTGCAGATTACACTTACAGGATTTTTGTTCTTAATCACATCTGCACTGCTCGGATATGTGAGTTATACTTTGTGTCTCTCAAGCAAGTGCACGTGCATTCTGTCTGTCTCTCTCTCTCTCTCTCTCTCTCTCTCTATATATATATATATATATATATATATATATATATATATATATATATATATATATCTCTTCCGTTCTCATCGTCTGAACTAGAAGATAACGTTTTGTTGCTTATCCAAGGTAAATAGGACATGTTTTCAGCCTCCTCTTTGGTTTCTCCTGCTTTTTGTTTTGAAGTTTCGGTTCATTATGCTGCTATGGAACATCCGGTTGAAGTTTGCTTTAGCTCCTGAACAGACTGTAGATTAGGAAGTATGTGTAGTCTATTACAGTTAGATCAGAATACCTGATTAATAATTCAATTAGTTATAATACAGGAGAGGCATCCAAAGGATTTGAATTTTAGTATCTTAATTTTTCGATATGGTGGTGAGTTGGATCGTCAGCAACCATACCTTCCACTGGAAGAGTGCTTGGTATGCTGCTCGGACACTCTTTAATTTAAAAAAAAGGTATGTTTAACAAAGTTTTTAAGGACTAATAAATGGAGTTATTCATTTGTTATGCCTGCCACATCCTTATATGTTGTTGTCGAAAGCTCTTCTGCTTTCCTGATGATGTAACTCATGAGTCTTTCCAGCAATATTTTGTGTTTTTTTATATTTTCAAAAGCTTTTCTTAATAGGACTTTTTACCTTCTCTCTTACTGGATAAGTTTTTGTCCCCAGATATATTCTCCGCAATTGGATTCACCTCCTCCAAGATGGGTTAATTTTGCTCATGGATTGCTTCTCTTCCTCTATCAGGTTTGCCCGTCTTAGCCATAATCGTAATTACGGTCTTATTAATTTATTCTTGTAGCAGTACTGTTTTGATAGTCGACATGTATGATTCTTTTAGCCAGATATATGCTATTTGAGTTCCATGTCTAATTGGTGAACCTAGAGGGTAAACATATGCTGTTACAAGTAATTTCTTGAGGTCTTGACTCTTGATCTAGTCTTTTAAGTGTTCCTTTATTTTGCCTTAGCATGTATGTGATCCACCATTCCAACTACCAACATTTCCCCTGTTGTTCTAGAAGCTAAATGACAGTTCGGAGAAACTTTTATGGGTGTATTTTTCCTTCTTTGGTTTTTTATAGCAGCATTTGATGAACTCTTCATCCGTACATCATGTGCCTTTGACTATGTTACATGGACTCTGGAATGGGCATACTTCCTATATCAGTGTGTCGAACTAATTGGCATGGGTATATGCACTTTTCTGTTAATAGTGTATGAATCGTGCCCTACCCATGTCACCCGTATGATATAGTTACAATGATGTAAATTAAGGATCCTTGTAACATACGATTTGAGGCATATGGTTTCTCTACAATTTGTGTAGTTTGTAGTTAGAGATCCCTTGAGATGAATTCAGATAACCACATTGCTCTGTCCCACTTTATTATCTTTCTGAAAAGAAAATAGAGATTAAAGGGTGCACTTGTGTGATCTTTCATTTAGCCCGCCTCTTCTGCGCTACTGTCTTCGAATATCTGAGATCGTGAAAGTCCCTCTGATAAGTTTGCGGCTGGTCAGTATGTGTTCAAGGTTGAATTAGCAGGTTCAACTTGGAGAAAACATGAACCTTATAATATTAACTCAGTTCTGTAGTGTAAAAAGCTTATTGGGTTGTGAATGACAAAAGACGAATTGAGATCACATTACATTCTATAAAGTGGAGCAGTATTTTTCAAAAGGCAAGCCTTTAAACAAGTATCTACAAATTTCCAACTGATCGAACATCTCACTCCTTCTGGCTGGTATTTTACTTTAAATAGGTTTGCCTCTTGTTCATAGCATGTTTTGAGGTCAATGTTTTGTTTTCTAATATTGAAGATGTCCTTTGAGTTTGGCTTGAGATTTTTTGCTCGGATGGGTGGTTATTACTTAAGTTAGTATTTTTTTTGCATATAGTATGACATTTGAATTATGCTACGTTGAGCTCATTTTAGAGCAACTCATCTTCTGCTGGAGTTCTTCTTTGATTGTGTTGGGCTCTTCCGAATGGGTGCAGACGTTTGATGCTGTTGATGGGAAGCAAGCAAGACGTACAAATTCCTCTAGTCCACTAGGAGAGCTTTTTGATCATGGTGATTGTTCCCCTCCTTTTTCATTTATATATTCCTATATTATTCTCTCTCTAAGTTGAGCGTGTGCTAGCTGTGATTCTGATTAGATGTCTTGGCTTTCACAATTTGCAGGATGTGATGCGCTTGCATGTGCAGTATGTCCTGTTTTCTAGTAATCCTTTTTCTTGCCCTGGGAAGACTTGGAACTTACAGATTTCCTGTTTAATCTGAGCAGTTTGAAGCCTTGGCTTTTGGGAGCACTGCTATGTGTGGACGAGATACTTTCTGGTTCTGGGTTATATCAGCTGTTCCTTTCTACTGCGCTACTTGGGAAAGGTAGGTGTTTCGATGTAACTCCTCAGTATGTTTAGTTTTTGGATATTGGCTTAGAATATTAGAAGGGTGGATTAGTAAGACGGGATGTAAATCAAATGTTGTGTACTAGTTGCAATAGCTATTTGAATAGTATGAACTTAACAGAAGATAATTTAACCTATATAAGAGAGACATGCCCTGGGATTTTGGGGCAATGGCAAAGGTAATACAACACGGATATGTGGTAGGCGCACATCACAAGTTCGAATCCTAGTTGGTTAACCAAGTCTAGTTAAGTGGATAAGAGTAGAGGGGCGGGCCCATTTGCTCCCGAGTTTTGAAGCTGAAAACAAGGGATTTCCTTGTTATCAGGGAAATATCTTGATCAATGTTTCATCCTAGTTTTCCAGAGATTTGTTAGTATCTTTGATCTCTTAATCTAGTTTTTGGATGTTGCTTCCTTTTGCAGCTATTTCACCAACACTCTAATTCTTCCGGTAGTAAATGGACCGACAGAGGGTCTTATGTTGATATATCTCAGCCATTTCTTTACAGCTCTAGTGGGTAAGCTTGGTTTTTTTAATGTGAAACTGCTCAATAGGAAATCCCCTTTGATGTCCTTCCTCACTCCCAGGCCCCAGCTACCCCAGTCTGTTGTTTTTGCAAGTTTCTATCAGCTTTTCTCTATTACCAGCTTGACACTTCATATTTTCAGGAGCTGAGTGGTGGGCCCAACAGTTTGGGAAGTCTATGCCACTTGTGAGTTGGGTTCCTTTTCTGAACGGTGAGGCTTTCATAAATTGTCCTTTGTTTTTCAGTTCTTAAGTTTCTCCCCAACCCTCTCTGTCTCCCTCTGTGTATTATGAAGTGCCGAGTATTGATCGGAGGTACTTTATCTGACATGATATTCATGTATTTATATAGTTTATCTTATGCTCTCCTTTTAGTTCGGTTTTCTTTTACCCTTTTTGCTTTTTAACTTTCTGTAGAGATTTCCTTAAAGCAGTTCTATGATTTTTCTAATGAACACTTTCTCTGATTTTATATATCAAAGCTTGTCAGTTTTGAACTTGAATTCTGCTACAAATGGTAGAACTTTTTGCTTCTGTTTATGGAATTGCATTACTTCTGAATTAGTCGTTGCTTACCAGCTCATGATCAAGACACATTCTTGACTTCAGAACCTACGAAGGCTTGAAGTTAAAACTTCTCGTCACCCACAGCTGGTTAAGATGGGTCACTTGCCTAAAGTTCTGTTTTATTTTATTCTTTAAAGAATTAGGAAGTTTTATTTGTTAAATACAACAACAACAACAACATACCCAGTAAAATCCCACTAGTGGGGTCTGGGGAGGGTAGGATGTACGCAGACCTTAGCCCTACCCTGGAAGGGTAGAGAGGCTGTTTCCGGGAGACCCTCAGCTCAACAGAAGAGATTTATTTGTTAAATACATCTAAGAAAAATAGTACTTATGCCAGAGTCCACCCAGCACGAGATGGGAGTAATGCTAAGAAAAGATGGTTTATTAAAAGTGGGAGATCATTTTGGAACAGATACTCTAATACATATTGTGTCTGTTTCTTTCTTTTCTTTTCTTATTATTATTTCTCTAATGGGATTTCCAAGTGAATTCATATTCTAGTTTTTATGCTTTATGAACTCTGTGCCTCTATTGCTTCGATGAGCATATCCATATGTATCATTTCTGGATACTGACTGTGTTTCCTGTCTGTTCCGAAGTTTATTTTAGTGTTTCTTATTGTTCTTATTCCTATTAACCTTTGACTTCAGAAATTCCAACCAATAAAGCCGTGTTGTTGCTGATGGTAGCTTTTGCTGTTATTCCAACGGTCTATTGCAAGTGAGTAATTTTTTCATACTTCAATGGGTTCTCTTCCTTTTTCTTCCATAATTCTTTCTGATCTCTTGCCTATGGGCTAGAAATAGACATGTGCTTTATTTATCAGAACATTTCAAATGGCTTATTAGCATTGGCAACATCCATCATTTGCATTACAGATCTTGGCAATGTCCATCATTAGCATTATAGTATTGCATCTCTTTGGATAGTTAACTTTATTCCGCATCGTCGTACTTTTGTCTGCTGTAACATATAGGGCCAGTTGAAGAGTATTAACGTCAATTTTTTGGCAGTGTTAACAATGTTCATAAGGTTGTTCAGGCAACAAAAGGAAGTATGCCACGGGCACTGGCCATGGTAAGTACGTTTCTTAGATAATATAATATGTTTTGGTGGTTATAATCTGTTTCTGACAAATTTCATTTCTAATGTTTGACAGCTTTACCCATTTGTTGTGCTACTGGGAGGAGTGCTTCTATGGTATCTCTCACTTTCAGAATACTAATTATTTTTGGACCAAATCGTGGTAATTAATATTGGCTGTTATGCAGGGACTATTTATCTCCATCCGACTTAATGAAGAACTATCCTCATCTTATGGTCGTGGGGACTGGGCTTGCATTCGGATTTCTTGTGGTAATTTATCTCCATCTCAATTATTGAGTATGAGCTGTTTCCTGAAGATACTTGTACAAATGAGTAGATGCAGATCTTTAGGGAATTCATGCATCTCATCTCATGCTCTACTTGAATCGATGCCATCTCAAAATTCAAAAATCTATTTGAAGTTCATCTTAAGTTGTTTCTGAGTAAGGTTTTTTTCCGCAGGGAAGGATGATTTTGGCTCACTTGTGTGATGAACCCAAGGGTCTGAAAACAAATATGTGCATGGTACGCATTTTCTGATGATAATGCAAAACCATAACATATGCTAAATTAATTTCATAAGATCTTTTGATAGGCCAAGTGTCTAAAATTCTTTCTGGTTAAAAGTAATCCATCTTTTCTTTAAGTTAATATCATTCCATGACTTAACTACATCAGCGTAGGAGTGTGACATCTATATCCTGGATTAGTAACTCCTATTCTTACTTTATCATAGAGAAATATTATCTTTATGCGACAAAAAAACCAATTTTTATTTCTTAAATTGAAAAATTAAGTGTATTAATTGGACAAGTGCATCCTCAAAGTGAGTCTTCGACAGAACGTCTGCGTTGTTTCGGTATAATCTCTCCTTCGAATTGGATACACTAGATAGTATGGTAGAAAAACAATTTATTTAAAGAAAAGAGAGAAATAAATAGATAATGCTTACAGCATTGTGGTTTCGATGTTTATGAAGTGGAGCTTTATGTTTGCAGTCTCTGCTTTGTCTGCCTTTTGCCGTTGCAAATGCGCTCACCGCCAGACTTAACGATGGGTAAGTGGAAACTAGTCTTGTTTCTTGAAGGAATTTAAGTCATACCAACTTTGTAATAGTATGTCTTTTACATATCACTAATATTCTCTTTTCAGAATTCTTGTATTCCTTTACGCTCATGAGAATCTCTTCTTTGCAGAGTTCCTATGGTTGATGAGTTCTGGGTTCTTCTTGCTTACACTGCATATTCAGGTATTACATTTGCTATTTTGATTTAGGCGGATATGATATGCTGTTTTCGTGTGAGTTATATTTGACAAAATTTAATTTAACTTAGCTGAACTGCGAACATACTTTTCTGACACCTACTTTAACTGTGTGACAAGTGACTGGTGCTGTGTAAAATATCTGGTCTGCTCCATATTCTATTTTTGACCTAGAGATTTCCAATCTCATTGTTTTTTCTTGTCGTTTTTTAACTCCTACGTATTATTGGCTGATTGTTCTTATTGTTTTTCCTCTTATTCAGTGTCACTCTATCTGCATTTTGCCACGTCTGTTATTCATGAAATAACATCAGCCCTCGGGATATACTGTTTCAGGTAAGATATATTGTGCTCGACTCTTATTTTACCTCATTGTGCTCAACTATATCTGATTTGATTTCAGCACAAATATCTTCCATTTCTGGCTCACATGATAAACCATAACCAACCTTTTCCCTATTGACATTGCTGGGGTCAAGTAAATATGAAGATTCTCATATCTCAACCTTATCGAGCATATAAACCTTTTCATGTCATCGAAGTATCGAACAATATGTTTCGACTAGTTTCATATTTTGTGAAGCATTGATTCCTAATGCTTTTCACTTTTGAATGACAGGATAACAAGGAAAGAAGCTTGATCCTTGTTTATGATCTAATTTTGGGTACACGTTTAACCTTTTTCTCTTTCTTTGATAAGCTTAAGGTTATATTTTCCACTGATTAGTGTATGATACAGTTATGATCTTCCTGGTACTTTTGTTTCTAGCTTTCGACCTGGGATTGAAGTTTTACTTTCCGTATCTAGCCGCTCCCTGGAAACCAGCTCGGAAGGATATTTCGGGGTTCTCATTGCACTACTTTTTCACAGGTTGAGGGCGTTATTGTTTGAATCCACCTTCAAATTCAAGTTTAGTGAAGTAATTAAAATGAATATCCTTTGAGTTACCCTTTTGACTTTAGGTGACTAAAATTGTTTAGTTGTTTTTGATTTGTCGACCCTTCCAATGGTCATGTTTCAAAATAGATGTCCTTTCAATTCCAAATTGAGTGGCATTGGTTTGATTTGACATGATATTTGGATAATCCAATTCACTCAATGCTGAGTTTTGAAGTTTGCTGGTTATTTTCCCTCCCTTATTTTTGGATGTCAAAAGGAGAAACTAGAAGATTTGAACAGATTTTAGTTTGTATTAGGAGTATAAAATTTTCCTAATTTAAAATAGAATTGGCCTATCATGCTGTCTAATTATTTGAGGAAGGCTGTCAACTGACTCCCTTTGGATGAGGGTAGGAAGCAATGAAGCGTGAAAATAGCACGGGTTAGTAGTTTTCGGACCGGTAATTGAATAATAGTCAACGTGTGTAGAGTTATTAAAAAATAGCCACTGTTTTGCTGAAACACGAAAAATTCCAGCATAATATGCGAGATTATAGAGCTCCTGCGTATAAACTTTCAGCATATTAAGTTGGAACTCCAGCACACGGATAGTTCCAGTATAATATGCAAAATTATGTCACTCGTACGCATAAACTACCCGCATATTATGTTGGAATTCCAGCACATTATGAAATTATAAGACATTATGTTGTAAGCTCATGTATAAAAAATTCGAACTCCAGCATATTATGCTGGAATATTTCCGTATTTATAAGGGTGCTTATATTCAGATTTTATCTTTACACGAGAAAGTGGCTAAATTTCAATTACTTTAAAATTGTGGCTATTTTTCAATTACCCGTTGTAAATCTGGCTATTTTTAATTTTCCCCCCAATTAAAAGCGTGAAGCAATAAAGTTAGAAGTACTAAGCAATGAACCCAAAGAGCCAATGGATGTTTTCAAGATTCAGACTCAAGTTTGGAACACCTTATATACTGGCCAAGATGTCTTATAAATACATTTGCAACTGAGCAATTAATGACTTTGTATTGCTTTGAACAAAAAATGAACTTGGTTGATAATCCATTCCGACAATCTTGTATCAATAATGATCAAAATAATCTTGTATTAACCATCACTGTGGTGTAGTATTAGAGCAAAGTCCCATCTAGAATGACTTCTCTTTTTTACCTGTTTAAATTGCTGCAGCTAACCACCTTGGCAGGTTCAATGTAGATTTCATCCCAAATTTGGTTAGAAAAATGGCATAGAGAAGATGCAGCAAGAACACGAAGAACGTACAATTTATCAAAAGCTGCAGGTGTAGGAAGCAAAAAAGAGTAAAAGGAAGAAAATTTTAGCTTTTTACTTGTCAAATTATTGAATAGATAGGAAGAAGTTATAGCACGTACCAGAGTCCCGAATAAGGTGTAGATAAAATTCATAGATGGAACTATCTGGCTGCCTAAGGATGTGAGAATGTACGAGAGAGAAGCATGAATATTTACGGTGATCTACAAGCAAAGAAGGAACACACGAGCGATACATTTCATTAGCAAAGAGACAATTGTAACAGACGTAAAGAAGAGAAAATGAAGTTATAAATTACCAGAGCAAGGATGTTTTCTCCTATTAAAAATGAGGATAATATAACATATCCAAGAGCACCTATAGCCCGAGCCTGCAAATCAAATTGATCATCTCTTGTCGGAATCACACCGTGATTAATACAGAACACCCTCAAAAAAGAAAAACAGTGGAAGGGAGAGAACATACAATAGAGCACAAGAAGATTGAGGCACCCCAATTTGTTCTCAACCTGACAAAATAAGAAATAGAACAACATCAAACAGCAGCGACATTTAATGTGAAGGATGCAGAATGTGTTCCAGTGCATAACTTTGGTTATAGTAAAACCCCCAAAAAGTCTGAACTAGTAGTCAGTACCAGGGGCGGAGGCAGAGGGGTGCAAGGGGTTTCAATAGAATCCCGTTCGTCGGAAAATTATACTATTTAAATAGGGTAAAAATGTGTTTTTTTTGCTTGTACATAAGTTGTTGAATCTTCTTGGCATAAGAAATTCCTTTTATCCCCTTATTTGAATTCCTTGCTCCGCCACTGGTAAGTACACTATTATATTCACTTGTGCATATGACAAATCAATTGACTTACAACTCCTATTTGGTACTTTAATATGTGAAATAGAGCAAGCGTCCTCTTAGCGCATTCTCAATTTTCTACTTCCATTTCTCTTTGGAGGTTTCGAAAGAAGGCGGGGCCAGAACAAAGAACGGGATCAGGCGATACATACTGGGGAAGACTGCAGAGCAATGCTTGCTCCTTTATTTGTTACTTATTCTGTTTTCTTTTTGTCGGGGTGGGGGCGGGGGTGGGAGAGGGACGTGTCTCCAATGAGGGTCGGAAACTAAGGTATATAACTCTTGGAAGACTTCCTGTTCAAAAATGGATTCCCATTACAATGACTTGACGAATAAGAATTCACGTATTGACACACATAATGAAATCACTACCTACCTCCATAAGGAACCCATTGTGAAGCCAAGTAAACCATGCATTAACTGAATCAGAACGAGAAAAAGGTGTAGCTATGTTAGTAACAAATCACCTAAACATGAATAGTACTTTTGCGAAACATAAAGTATTGAAGAAGAACAGTAAGCAAGGATGACAAGTATCATAAGAAAGCAATAATGAAAATTTGATATTTCGCAAACCTATATGTACAAATTTTATGGTTTATAAGATGTATAACTCACCATATAATTTAATGCTTTCACTGGACCAGACAAGACAAATAAGAGCACAACAGTTGCAACCTAATCAGATGGGACAAATGATCGTTAGAGAAAGCAGATGAACAAGCGATTAGGAACAAGTAAACGTTCAACCTATGAGGTATGCAGAGGAGACAAACCATGGTTTTCCTGCCCGCTGCAACACCCCATCTCATCGAGGATATAACAATTGGCAACGCGAAGAAACAGCCGAAGTAATTCTGTGTTACATGGAAAGCCAAACTCCTTTAGGAGATCAAAACTACCAGCAAAAAGTGACAGATAATACAAGACCAGCTCACAGAATCTATGCGAAATATGATATAGCTACTCTTAGTTAATGCAGTCTTACAGTAAACATCAAACAAAATCATAAACTAGTCACTGGTCTTTTCTTCTCTATAAATTATATTTATTTTGCAGAAAAAGGTCAAAATCTACCTTCTTGTCTTATATCTATTATCTAATATTTTCTGTTCTACTTCAAAACATTACTTTCTTCTTCAAAATTTTGCACTTAAAAACCCAAAACTATCCTTACTTTCCTAATCAGAATTATTTTCACTATTTGCTTAGTGCAGAAATAAAAAAAACTGTCATACCCACTAAAGCTAATTGCATTTAATCGCATTCCATTATCGCGAAGGATAGTGAGCAAATATCATATCTAAGGAAGCATTATTTATCATTCTCAAGCCTAAATCATTTTTGGTCTTCAGCAACATTTCCAACATTTTACAACATAAAGAACTTCCCTAACTTATTGCACAATAGCAGAGTTAAACAAATTCAATACTATAATTCCTAAACTAAAGTACTACTCCCTCCGTCCGTCCAAATTTATGTGACACTCTTTCCTTTTTAGTCCGTTCCAAAATGAATGAAACCTTTCTATATTTAATAATAATTCAACTTTAGATTTTCCTTCTTACCCATAATGAGATGATTTCTAACTCCGCAAATTTATGTGATTTAATTTAAACCACAAATTTCAAAAGTCTTAACGTGTCCAATCAAATACCTTACGCCTAAACTGGGACAGAGGGAGTACTACTTTCTAAATCACATTAACCAATAAACTCCTAAAAAAATTTGTTTAGGAACTTAAATGACAATTTTGCAATCAATATATCATCCCTAATTCAAAAACAATTAAATTAAATTCATAACTCAATCAGCACATAAACAAAAAGCATTTCCTCTAAAAACCCATCAAAAATTTCTACATTTCAAGAATCATATATGTACCTCAATAGCAAGAGAATTGCTCAAGAGATAAGCCAATCCAGAAACAGCAGCAAACATAGCACCCTCTACTAATCTCAAAGTCTTTTTATAAACAACCCCATCTGCTGCTAAGTACTCATACTCTTCTGAATCTTTTAAATTTTCCTCTTCTTTATCACTCAAAGATTGGATTTTTATAGCTGAAGCTCTTACATTTTTTAGCTTAAAATTGTTATAACGAAGTGTTAAAGGCAAGAATTTTGGTTTGTGGGTAGTGAAAAAGAGAAAGTGGGGAGCTGAGAAAGATGAATGGGTCGATGAATTTCCTGAAATTGAAGAGAATTTGATATGGTAATAGTTGTTGTGTTGGTGATCAAGTTTGAGAAGATTCATGGTGGAGAATACAGAGATTCTTGTTACTGTAGTTTGTGGTTTTTTTTAAACAGAGATTAAGGTTGCTGTTTTTTTGGATAGGGGGTATTTGTGGGCTTTTGGACTTCGGGTTAGCCCATGATGTTGCTTAATTGATTTAAGGCCCATTAGTTTGATTTGTTTAGCCCACAACACCAATGCATATCCAAACAACCCAACAATCAAGATTTAAGACTTTAATAGGATTTTGGGGCATTTGCATCTATACCCGCTTTTTAGGTCACCTTTTAACTGATACCCGCTTTGCAAAAAAATTGCAAGCGTACCCACTTTTCGCGTAACTTCAGACATACGGGCCTGAAGTAGCAAAAATTTATGTCTGAAGTTTGAACTTCAGAATGTTTTGCCTGAAGTGTAGCAAAACTTCAGATATTTTTGCATGAAGCTTGGCCTGACTTGCAAAGGCAATCACACAAACTTCAGTTCATAGTGCAAATGGCAAACTTCAGTTCAATAAAATTACAACATGTTTTGGCTGAAGTTTTTGTTTGTAATTGCTGAACTTCAGCATTCGAGTAGCTGAAGCTTTGTTCTGTATTTGCTAAACTTCAGCATGTTTTAGCTGAAGCTTTGTTCTGTATTTGCTGAACTCAGCATGTTTTAGCTGAAACTTTGTTCTGTTTGTGATGAACTTCAGCATTCTAGGGCTGAAGTTTGTTTTGTATTTGCTGAACTTCAACATTCTTAGAGCTGAAGTTCTAAACAACAATGAATTTAATAAATCATGATTAGCAGCGATTGATGTTGTTCATTTCAAAGATTAAAGAATGAGAAATATTTTTGATATGAAAGCAAGTTACTACAGATAAATTAGAACCAAAAATCAATGTGCCTGTAAAGCTAAAATATCTAAGAGGTTAAATTATTGTGAATAAGACCAAACTGAACATAATGGGACAAGCAGATATATATGAATCATCAGGCTAGAACGCATAACAATATCTCAAGTTTCAGCATTCAGAAAACGAAGGATGAGAAGGAGGAGCAGAAAGAGGCCTGAAGTTGTTTAAACAGTGAATACAAGTTAAAACTTTTTTTAAAAGTGGGTATAGGTTAAATGGGGGCGACCAAATAGGGTGCAATTTTTACGATTTTCATAGAGGAATTAACTCAAATAGCCACTCACCCAACCACTTAAATTAAAAATAGTATAATATATGCATTATATGTGTATAATTATATATAATCAATGTATAACCTTATGTATATAGCTAGAAAAAGTGAGCAATGAATATAATTGGCTATTTGTGTAAATATTCCTTTTCATATCTTTACACAAGGGTGATTTGTTCTATGAACAATTACTGTTCATTTTCTGTGTCAATTTGTCGACAAGGGGAGAAGAAAGGGACAGACAGGAAGTGTGAGTGGAGCTGACTAAATGTGCATATTTTGTGCGGCAGATGTATTTTAGTGACAATTAAAGTGCAAGTCAGTGTTCTTAATCATCATCACAATCAAGGTATAATTATTAATGTCAATGTCCCTTTTCTAATAATTTTCAACACAATACCTCGGTAAAATTTAAATATTCTTCAAAATTCATGAGAACCACTAACATAAATAATATATTCAGAATTTCAAACTATTGCATATAAAGTATTATTAATTATACGTACATCGATCCACCACATCAACAGTGGTATAGCCAACTTATTTTATAGCCTCAATTGAAATATGCAATCTTTAAAATTCATAATTTTAAAATCACAGTAGAGAGTACTGAGCTATATTCACCATACCGACAATTAATTTCAACTTAGAAAATTATACACTATTTTAGATATAGTTAATTAGCTCCAGAAGCGGAGGTAGAAGCAAAGATACGGGTTTCGTCGTCGCTCGCTTGGCTCGGCTTGGCTTCGGCTTCGGCGTCGGATTCGGATTCGGATTCGGATTGAGATTGAAATTTGAATTTGGAATGTACAATATCTTTTGTTCAAATAGTATATTTTTCGTAAGAAATTCATTAAATATCCATAAATATCATATTTAATCATTACCACTTTAACTCAATATTCCGAAATTCAAAACTCATAAAATTAAAATTTTGTCTTGCTCTGCTTGGCTCTAGTCTTGACTCAAAGCCAATGGGGCCGCATGCAAATTAATGTAAAAATAGCCTTTCGAAAAAAATCGAACCTTAGTCCCCTTGACCATACTCAGTATATGTATTAAGAATACTACTAAATATATATAAGTACTTGATTTTGAACCCATATATATTAGTAAAATGTATGCTAATCCCTAACATTTTATCAACCAATAAAACTTATGGAAGGGAAAGAAAATGTTGAGTAAGTGATAATGGGAATAAACCAAATGATTAAAAACCAAAATTGAGAATTAAGATTTGGAAAGGGACATAACTTAAAAACAATTAGTTCCTTTTGTTGCTGTGATAACAATGATTCACTTGGACTTGGGCGTGCTACGAGCCTGCGTTCATTGCTATAATAAACAAACAGCAAACGTGCTATATATAGTGCATGTAATGTGGCATGGCTCTAGCTGTGCTACAAATTAATCTTGGATTCTTCGTGTGTGTGTGTGTGAGACCCCTCGAGCGTGCGCTTATGCCATTGCTTAAAAGAGAGTACTTGTTTGTATTCCAAAAAAAATAATGCGCATGTGAGTATTTGTACGAACCGAGTGTCTATCAGAAACAGTTTTTGTAACTCACATAAAGTAGGGGTAAGGTTTGTGCACATCACACTCTCCTCAAACCCCAATTGTGGAATAGTACGTGAGGGTCAATCGGTTTTGTGGCTCTTTACAAACTTATTTTTAGTTTTATGACCCTACCTCTTTTTTACATATGGAAGATTTACTTTTACACGTAAGAGATCTGTCTTTTACACATAGGAGATCTGAAAAGGTCATTTTATCAATTAATTTTAAAATTATAAAAGAGCATGATGTACAAATAGTACGGGATCACACTTCCTAGGTTGTTATTGCTATTGTATGTGTTGTATTTGTAGGAAAGGAGCATGGATGTTGTAAAGACTAGCTTTCTAAAAGGCGGATATATATACAACGGCGGATCCAACGATGAGTTTCCAGGTCCAGCAAAAAAAGCTTATGATGAGCATCTATTTGTCCTAATATTCTCACCATATTTGGTTTTTCTATTTCTTGAAGGACACCATATTTACCATAATTGAGTTTTCCTTCTTTTAGAAGGAAACTATAAATCTCTCATATTTGGCTAGTCTTTTTTCTTGTAGGAAAAGGTTTGGACTTCTATAAAAAAGAATCCTTCCTTCTCATTCAGCAGCATCCACAATGTAGCCATATGGGGTTTGAGAGTTGTGTTTAAGGGGAGAACTTTAGGGGACAAGTGTTTGTGTGTCACCTGTGTTTGCCTTTTCATGAGGTTGTTCTCTCGATATTTTGTACTCTCTTTTATTATAGTGGATTGCTCATCTCCGCCGTGGACGTAGGTCAGTTGACCGAACCACGTTATATGTTTGTGTCTCTTTTAGTATATTTCTCTTTGTTGTATGATTTATCGGCGTTCAAGTGTTGCTTTACTAGCTTCCGAATGACACCTTATTTTTTCGATCCTAACATTTCCAAGATCTAATTCCAGTTTTTTTCTTATGCAGTGAAAATGCCTGTTGCGGGTCAAGTTGTATAGGGTATCGCGAGACAGCTTACGGCAGAGGAAAAAATACGAGGTACGCTATTGCTTAGTCTAGTTTTTATGGAAGCTTTAACAATTTATGGACTGGTTGTATTATTAGCACTTTTATTTGCGAATCATTTTGTTTAATCTTAGTTTAAACAAAAGTGAAAATTATAGCATAAATGCCATAACATAAATGGCTATTTACGCAACAATAAATCGGAAATTCAAGAGGGAGGTTAATTTTCAGTTACACTACCGAAAAACGGAAAACAGATAATGGAAAAACGTTTACTATTCCCTTGGATTTAATAAAAGTGCTAATGATACAACCAGTAAGCTATGCTTTAAGACTATGTCAAGTTTTGAACCGAAGCCGAGCGAGCGATGACGAAGGCGTGAGGTTTGCCTTCTTCTCAATTCTGTAAGAGCTAGAAGAAGAGCAATTGCTTATATACCCATCAAAAACCTCTTCCTCTTCCAATATGGGATAGTGTCCGTTTGCCAAGGAGGGAATCTCAAATGAAATTCAAATATTTCATTTTCCCTCCATTTTCCATTCACCCTCTTTTAAGCCTTATTTAATGCTTAAAAACCCAACAATAAGTAGAGCTATTTCTAAGAATATTTATTTGTACTACGAAAATGAATGTCATTAAGATATGCATGTGTTTTGCATACATACATACATACATACATACATATATATATATATATATATATATATATATATATATATATATATATATATATAAAACTTTTATCACTCACTCATAATTAAATAATCTACATATTTTGGCTGTACATTTGTAACTTTCCTTTTTGGTAATTAATTATTTTATATTAATCACCGGTGTAAGGCCATAGCTTTGCTATCTCATTACAAAATCAAAACTCAGCCTATGTAAACATGCATACCAAAAATCAATCAGGAATAAACATTTGTAACTTTTACGATTAAATTATTTAATTTAATACGAATATCGAGTGTGCGTGTATGAATTTTTCTATTTTTCTCTCTTTTCACTCAATAGGAGTACCTTTTTCTCCTTGCCTATGAATTATAGATTGAACTTCACAATCTTAAACATTTCTTGAGTTGGAATTTTGTGAGTCCTTTCAAATCAATGCACGTATCTTTCTGCAATTTGATCAAGTTTCTTCTGAATATAAGCATACAAAAGTGAAAACACAATGGGAAGAAGAGACATGAAATGAAATGAAATGAGTAATCCACCACGTAACGACACATATATACATCAATGACTGACATATCCCAACTTCAATTTTTCATGTTGAGATAGTGGTGTATACTGACAAGAGACTTGAGCAATAATAAAGTTGTCTTCGAACGATAAAAACAGCTACTAATGATTGTGTTGCGGTAG